AGTAATAGAGTGCCCCTAAGTTCAACCCCCAATACCAAAACAAACAGAAAAAATGTTCAGGAGGCTGGGGTTGTATCTAGCCTAGCACATGTGAGGCACTGGGTTTGATACTCAGCACCACATAAAAATAAATGAATAAAATAAAGGTATTGTGTCCAACTATAACTTATACAATTTTAATAAATAAAAATGTTCAATAAACTAAAAGATCTAAGGATTGAATTAAGAGAGCAAATACAGGAGATAAATGGCCATTTCAATAAAGAAATAGAAATACTGAAAAGAAACCAATCAGAACTCCCGGGAATGAAAGACATAATGAATCAAATTTAAAATTCATTGAAATATCACCAACAGATTAGATTGTATAGAAAATAGAACTTGAGGCCTTGAAGACAGTATATATGAACTTGAATCCTCAATATGCAATAAAGCAGGGAGATCATAACAGAACATATAAGAACTCTGGAACAAATGTATTTCTGACCAAACCTGAAAGTCATTGGGATACAAGAGAACATGGAAATACAGGCTAATGGCAATAAGGACCTGTTCAGTTAAATAACAGTAGAAAAAATTCCCTACCTTATAAATGAGGTAAACATCCACATACAGAAGTCATACAGAACCACAAATAGAGATCAAAAAATAACATCTCCAAGATACATCATAATCAAAATTCCTAACATATAAAATGAAGTCAAAAATTTTAAAAGCTGCAAGAGAAAAATGTCACATTTAGAGGCAAACCAATAAAGCTCACTTCTGACTTCTCAAATCAGATCCTAAAGTCGAGGATTTTTTTCCTAAGTGAGGAGTGGGGGAGGGGAGTGGGATTGCCAGCGAAGATTGCTATATGCAATAAAGTTATCTATCAGAATCAGAGATAAATAAAAACTTTCCATGATAAGGACAAACTAAAAGAATTCATGACCACTAAGCAAGCACTATAAAGAATATTTAAAGGTATATATACACAGAAGAACTCAAAAACAAACCCCAACTATCCTTAATAGATTATGCTCACTGGAAGAGCAATAACCAAATGAAAATCAAGACTGAATCAAATATAACAAACAAATCAAAGTGGCAGGAAATAACTAATATCTATCCATAATAACACTGAAAATAAATGGTCTCAACTCCCCAATAAAAGACATAGATTGGCAGAATGGATTTAAAAACAAGATCCACTTACATTCTGTTTGTAAGAGACTCATCTCATAGGCAAACACCCCCAGGCTAAAAGTAAAAGGATAGAAAAAAAAATTACATGTAAACAGAGGCCAAAAACAAGCAGAAGTAGTTATTCTTGTATCCGACAAGGCATGTTTCAAGCAATAATTAACCAGAAGAGACAAAGAAGGCCCTATATACTACTAAAGAAATAATCCAACAAGAAGATATAATGATAGTAAATATTTATCCCCCAAATGTCAGTGCACCTAATTACATAAATGCGGAGGTCCAGCCCTGGCAGGGGGCGGGGAGTGGGGTTCCAGAGGTCCTGAAGGAGGAGTGGCTTTGGCAAAAGAATAAGAGTCAGGACAACAGGTTGCAAGCTAGGAGCAGAGTTCAGAAGAAATCTCTGCTGCTCCCTGGAGGGACCTTTATTTTTATACCTTTTTTACAGGTGTTTTTTCAGGTAGTTAATGGATAGCTTCAAAGCCTGAAACTTTTTTTGATTTACATAATTTTCAAGAGTTACAATCTTTTCTGACATACATTGATTACCTGAGATATTGAGTTCATTGTTCAAAATATTTTTCTGTAACCTTAGTCAACCATAATTAAGCTTTTAGGTTTTTACCTCAATCACTAGGTACTAGGTGACACAACTAGATGACATGACTCCTGACCTATTATTCCCTTCTAACTTTAAAGCATACCTATAATTATTTCATTAACCTTTAACTTTAAAGCATATTTATGATTTTTGGTAAGCTTCTTACTTCTAAACTAAAATCCCAGTAAAACACACTTAAAGTAGTAAAAGTCTATTATTTCAAAGTCTACTACTCTGAAGTGCCTCTAAAATGTATCTGTTAATTTTAAATTATTCTATTTTTAATTTACAAGGTAATTTCCTTTTTCCATATAACCTATTTAGTTGCTTTCTTAAAGAACTTCCTAGATCCTTGGTCAAAGCTCGCCAATTCTTTTTTTTTTTTTTTAAGAGAGAGAGAGAGAGAGAATTTTTTTTTAATATTTATTTTTTAGTTTTCGGCGGACACAACATCTTTCTTTGTATGTGGTGCTGAGGATCGAACCCAGGCCGCACGCATGCCAGGCGAGCGCGCTACCGCTTGAGCCACATCCCCAGCCCAGAGCTCACCAATTCTTATGTCTTTGAAATCTTTAACTAAAGGGCAGGCTTTACCCATTTGTCATTTATATTAATTCAACCCATTTGTCATTTATATTAACTATGTGTTTTCCATTTTCATCATAAGTTTCTGTGTAAGGCAAAGGAGGGTCTATTGGTTAGGGGAATGTATTTTTATTAGCCTCTTGTCCTCAAAGGGGATACCATAAGCTACATAAGTGGTCCTTATACTGTTGGTACAGCAATTGTTTTTCTGTAGCTAGGCTGTTGTACAGGTTGTGGTTTTAAGATGGGGTTGGGGGTGCTAGTGTAAATTGTTAACCTGGGATAAATATTTCTTGTTGTTTAGGCTTGAGGAATAACACTATTGTTTGTATCCTGAGAGATATTGAAATGCACTTCATGGCATGTCTCAATTGTATCCTTAGTCTCATTCTAGGAATTTTCCTGCAATCTCAGGCAATATGTACTTTTATTATTGACTGACATATGCCCTATTATCCATATCATGAGTATCATAAACAAAACACTTTAACGTTCCTAATGGTTCCAATTTCCAGATGGTGCGGCCCTGCCGCAGCATCCCCCACGCTGTGACCCTGTCAGACAGCGGGTGCAGGATCACCTTCAACACTTAAAAAAATTACTTCTTGATATTAAATCCCAGATAGACCCCAATACAGTAATACTGGGTGATTGCCACACTATTTTCATCAATAGATACTTCATCCAAACATAAAACCAATAAATATATTTCTGACCTGAATATACTATAAATCAAAAAGACCTAACAGGTATTTACAGAATATTTCATCCAAAAACAGCTTAATTCACTTTATTTTCAGCAGTTCATGGAACCTTTTCCAAAATAGATTAATTCTAGGTCACAATGTAAGTCTTAGCAAAAAAAACAAAAAAAAAATTGATTAACCCCATGCATTCTAACAGATCATAATGGATGAAACTAGAAATCAACAGCAAGAAATATTATAGAAGCCACATAAACATGGAGATTGAACAATATTATTTTTTTTTGCCAGAAGTGATTAACAAAGTTTATTTCTCTTTAAAGATACAGAATAATACCAGCAGCTTACAGATGCTTAAGTTCAGTGACCCTTAATGTAGTTCCACTTGTCATAAAGACCAATCTCACCAAAATTGTAGCATATTCACCATATCTAATTATTTTTGATTTAGGAACAAGAGGTTGCAACATCTGGAAAGAGAAGGACAACAAACAGCAGAGAGTACAAACTGCAGTAGTGGGGACTACCAAGGAGCTGACCCCGAAAGCAACCAATATGAAGCCACTGCAGACCCTGCCAGAGGAAGCTGAACATAGAAAACTAAGTCAGGGACACATCCAAGGGACAAGAATTCCCAAGAATTCAAACTAAAAGCCCTGGGTGGTCTAGGTAAAGCAGAATGGCTGAGAAGGGTCATTTCAGGGGCTCCTTACATAGTTCAATCTATTTGGAGTCACAATCACTGTGTGAGTTATAAAACCCAGGGCTCCCTTTTCCAGAAAATTGTATTCATAATTTTGTATATAATTTCAGAAGGCTTATAGAAACCATGAAACTCATCATCAGTTTCTTGTGGGAAGGGAGGTACAAGGAAGGCTCTCCATTTAAATAATGCTGTCCCATGACATTAGACACAGGTCTGCTTTAGTAGGCCTTCTGTCTAGGTGAGTCTGTTCCTTGCAGGAATGCTATTATAGATCTATTTAAAACTTTATTTTTGTCAGATAATATGTAGCATTTTTCCTGAGGAAAGATTAGCTATGTTCAAAATGATATGATTCAATAGGCTGTTGGTGTGATAGATTAAAGTCTTGGGATATATCAATGACTTTTTAAAAATTTAAATCCAAATGATTTTTGATCCTTAAAATTTTTAAAATATTTTTTTTAGTTGTAGATGTACACAATAGCTTTATTTTTATTTTTATGTGGTGCTGAGGTTTGAATCCAGTGCCTCATGTGTGCAAGGCAAGTGCTCTACCACTGCGCTACAACCCCAGCCCTTGATCCTTAGAATTTTAGCATGAGACTCAGGATTTTTCTTTCTATTTTTCTCTTTAACAGAAAATCAAAGGATTATGATGGTAAATACCTAACAAAGAGTTATAAAGAGTGGCTGACAAGACCTTCTTCAATGGAAGGTAGAACACAGGCTGCAGGTGAGAATCAAGTAAGCAGCAGCATCTTCACCCCATTAAGACTTCCCTGCAGATGAGCAGCAGGAAGGCACCACTCATAAGGGGCACAGGAGCCAGTGGCTCTGTCTGGTGGCACTGCTTGAGAATGCCACTTCCACAGAGGCCACTTTGGAAGACCCATAGTAGACCTGCTTTGGGCAAATGTCTCCACAGCATCTCTGCTGTCTTTTCATAAAACCTACAGTTGTACATGGGGAACATTGACCTCTTTTTAATAGCAATAAAATGAATTCTCTGTTTCCAAATCTTTCCCTTTATTATCATAATTAGACTTTACTTGGAAAGCTAGTAGTAAAAACTGTTCAGACAGCATCATCACATTATTACTTTTAGGCAAAGGAGGATGGGGGACTCTCAAGTTAAAATGGGACTGAAAGAGACAGATTCCAGTTCCCAAGAAGTCTGGCCTCTACAGTCAGCACTAAAAGCAGGATTAATGTGTAGTTATTAAGAAAATCATATGGTGACTTTATTCTCCTTGCTACTTAAAAAAGAGTGATGTGATAGCAGTGAAGGCCAACATCATACAGGGAAGACCAAGTCCACACTTTGTCCTGAATCAACTGCTACTACATGAGTCTTCTTGGTCAAGGCAGTTGAGCCCACAGTGACAGAATAGGTCCCTGGATATACTTCTATGTAGAGGTCCTTTGAGATGTTCTCAGCCGGCTGGGATGACTCTGAAGCATGTGCTAATGTTTCATAGATGCTTCCTGAACTGAGGGATGTCTTTTCTCTGTCATTTTTCTGACCATGCCTCCTGTAAGAGTACATGTCTAGCTCCGACTTCCCTCTGTGATAACGATAGACATGGGTTGCCCCTCTTTCCTCTGCCACAGATGAATAATATTTCCCACACTGACTTGAAGTATAGTCCATGAATTCAGCCACTGTTCTGAAGGATGCACTAAGGGTTGGGTGCCTTTCTTCTCTCTCTACTGGAAGAAAAGGCTGGGGGCCCGCTGCCAGTAGTCTTTCTTGGTAAGACCCCTCCCGGGAAATAATCCCCATGCTGCCTTTGGGGCGCTCGTGTGAATGCCAGTCCACCGCCCGCCTCTTGGCCCGCTCCAGCACTTCTTGACCCAGCCTAGCTGAGCGCTGCAGGGAACGTCTGTCCACCCCGGTCAGCATCGCCGCGACGAAACAGTTGTCCATGTCTCCCTGGGCAGGCATATATACACACAGAGGTTCAGTCGGGCTGCCGCGACGCTGCTCCAGTTCTGGGTGGGAGCCCCGGCCTCGACCTCCCCGGCGATCACCGAACCCCTTCCGCCCCCAACGCGCACTCAGCGGGCGCCCAGCCAGAGGGCGAGGCTGCGCGCGCTGGTCCCCTCCATTTCCGCATCCCCTCCCTAGGGCAGAGACCCCCTCTAATATTATTTTTAATAAGGAATGCATCATAGAAGAAATGAGATAAGAAGAAATTCTTAAAAACAAATGAGAACAGAGATACAACATATCAAAATCTCTGGAACAGTATGAAGGCAGTTCTAAGAGGAAAATTTATAGCACTGAGATGCCTACATTAAAAAAAATAGAAAGTTCCCAACTAAATAATCTAATGTTACACCTCAAGGTCTTAGAAAAGGAAGAACAAAGTAATGCTGAAATGAGAAGATAGCAAATAATTAAAATCAGAGTCAAAATTAATGAAATTAAGAATACAAAAAGAGTTTTTTCAAAGAGTTGTTTGTTTACAGAGATATGAAAAATTGTGCTCTATATGTGTAATAAGAATTGTAATGAATTCTGTCATATATAAATTTTTAAAAATTTATACTCCAATAAACTGGAAAATCTAGAAGACAATGACAAATTTCTATACACATATGACCTGCTCATTGAACAAAGAAGATATAGAAAACTTAAACAGAGCAATAGCAAGCAATGAAATTGAAACTGCAACTAAAAGCCTTCCAACAAAGAGTAGTCCAGGACAGGATGGATTCTCAGCTGAGTTCTACCAGATCTTTAATGAAGAACTAACAGCAGTTTTCCTCAAATTATTCCATGAAATTGAAAGGGAGGAAACAATACATTCTATACATTCTACGAAATACATTCTACAAAATAAATACATTCTATGAAACCAGTATAACCTTGATACCAAAACTAAACAGATACATCAGGGAAAGTAAACTACAGACTAATTTACCTGGTAGATAGATGCAAAAATCCTTAATAAATTATTAGCAAACTGCATTAAAAACATATAAAGGAGATAATACACCATGATCAAGTGGCTTTCATTCCAGGATTGCAAGAGTGGTTCAACATATCAATAAATGTAATTCAACAAATAAACAGAATTAAAGACAAAAATCATTTGATCATCTCAATAGATGCAGAAAAGGTCTTTGATTAAAAAAAAATTCAGCACCCATTTATGTTAAAAATGCTGGAGAAACTAAGGGTAGAAGGAACTTACTCAACATTATGAAGTATACATATGACAAAACCAAAGCCAACATCATATTGAACAGAGAAAAGCTGAAAGCATTTCATTCAAAACAGGAACAAGACAAGGATGTCCACTCCTACCACTTCTATTCAATATAGTTCTTGAAACTCTAGCAAGAGTAATCAGGCAAGAGAAGAAAATTAAAGGGATACAAATAGAAAAAGAAAAAGTCAAATTATCTTTGTTTGCTGATGACATGATCCCATATCTAGAAGATCCAAAATACTCCACCAGAAGACTTCTAGAGCTGATGATAAATTCAACAAAGTAACAGGTTACAAGATCAACATTCATAAATCAATAACTTTCCTGTACTTCAACAGTGATTCTGCAGAGAAAGAAATCAGGAAAACTATACCATTCACATTAACATTAAAAACACACACACACACAAAATACTTGGCAATTAATATAACCAAGGAGATAAAAGATCTCTACAATGAAAACTATAGAACCCTAAAGAAAGAAACTGGGGCTGGGGTTGTGGCTCAGTGGTAGAGCACTTGCCTAGCGCATGTGAGGCACTGGGTTCGATCCTAATGACCACATTTAAAAAATAAATAAATAAAATAAAGTTATTACATCCATCTACAACTAAAAATATTTTTAAAAGAAAGAAAAATTGAAGACATGTACATACCACAAGAAGAAGATCTTAATTAGAAAAAGTTACATTCCATGTATTTATAATATGTCAAAATACATTCTACTGTCATGTATATCTAAACTGAACAATAACAAAAAGAAAGAAATTGAAGACAACTTTATAAGATGAAAAAACTTCCCATGTTCTTGAATAGACAGAATTAGAATTGTCAAAAACGTCATACTACTAAAAACACTATATAGATTCAATGGAATCTCCATTAAAATATTCATCATATTCTTCACAGAACTAGAAAAAACAGTCCTAAAATTCATATGGAACAATAAAAGGCCTAGAATATCCAAAGTAAGCCTGAACAAGAAGAGTAATGCTGGAGGTATCTGTATCTGATCTCAAATTATACTACAGAACTATAGTAACAAAAACAGCATGGTATTGGCATCAAAATACACACAAAGATCATCAGAAAATAATGGAAGACACAGAGGCAAACCCACATGGTTATAATTATCTGGTACTTGAAAAGTTGCCAAAAATATATGTTGGAGAAAAGACAGCCTTTTTAACAAATTGTACTGGGAAAACTGGATACCTATATGTAGAAAAACGAAACTAGATCTCTATCTCCCACCCTGAACAAAAGTCAAATCAATTTCTTAGGAATTAACCCAGGAAGAAAACATAGGGTCAACACTCCAACATATTGGTAGAGGCAATGACTTTCTTAACAAGGTCCCTAATGCTCAAGAAATAAAACCAAGAATCAATCAGTGATTGATTCAATCATTAAAAATCTTCCACACAGCAAAGGAAATGACATAAGAGCTTGAAGAGAGAGCCTACAGAATAAATATTTTTTTAAAAAAGGAAAACTACATTGAATGCTGGCAAGGACGAGAGGAAAAAGGTACACTGGTTTATTATTTATCGGACTGCAGATTAGTACAACCCCTGTGGAAAGCAGTATGGAGATTCCTCAAAAAACGAGGTATGGAACCACCATATGGCCCAGCTATCCCACTCCTCAACATTTATCCAAAATAATAAAATCAGCACACTATAGTGATACAACCATATCAATGTTTATAGCAGCTCAACTCACATAATCAAGTTATAGAACCAGCCCAGGTGCCCTTCAATAGATTAATGGAATAAGAAAATGTGGTACATATACACAAATGGAGTCTTACTCAGCCATGAAAAGAATGAAATGATGGTATTTGCGGGTAAATGGATGAAAATGGAGAATATCATGTTTTGTGAAATGAGCCACACTCAAAAAGTTAAGTCAAATGTTTTCTCACATATGTGGAAGCTTGAGCAAAGGAAGGGGAGAAAATGCAGGGAAGTCGGATATCATGTGGATAGAGATCAGTGGAGTGAAAGGAGATTGAAGGGGAGGGAGAAGGAATGGGAAAGGGGGGAAGTGCAGAATGAATTTGACAAAATTACACTATGTGCATGTATACATATACCACAGTGAATTTCACTTTTAGATATATCTATAAAGCACCAATTAAAAATAAATTGATAGCACTGGGTTCATTCCCCAGCACCACACAAAAAAACTGAACAAACAAAATAAAGGTATTCTGTCCATCTACAACTCAAGATATTTTTTAAAATAAAAATAAGAGTCCAGGGTTGTGGCTCAGTGGTATAGCGCATGAGGCACTGAGTTCAATCCCCAGCACCGCATAAAAATAAAAATAAATAAAAGAAAGGTATTGTGTCCATCTACAACTAAAATATATATTTAAAAATAAAATAAAATAGTAAGTAAATAGATAGAGCTGAGATTCTGGCTCAGTGATGCTTACCTAGCACGTGTGAGGCACTGGGCTTGATCCTCAGCAGCACATTATAAATAAATACATTTATAAAAAATAAATAGATAAATAGATGGAAGGAAAACTAGTAGAGTTAGAGGAAGGGGAATAGAGGGAGGAAGGAGTGGAGGAAAGAGGGGATACTGGGGGACTAAAATGGAACAAATTAAATTTCATACATGGATGATTATGTCAAAGTGAACCCAACTGTTATATATAATTACAATGCACTAATAAAAGCATAAAAGAGATCACAGGTCATTGTGAAACAGTAGTCATTCACTCCACCAACTCACAACTCAGGTCATGAGAAAGACAAAGGACCCCAGAAAGGAGGTCAGTGGCTTCTTTCCTATCTTCCTCAAGGGGTCTTGGAATTGCAAAAGAATGAAGTAGTAGAAGCAAAGGAAAGACTGGGTTTGAGAGGAGCCAACTTGGGGAGATTTTTAAGTTTCCCAAAGAGATTAATGAGTCTCATATATTATCTTTGGGAAAATCATGTCAACAAGAAAGGAAGCTCACAGAGGGGCCAAGCAGGGGTTGGAGCACAAAGAGTTTCAGTCAACAGAGAAGTTTTCATGGGGAAAATAAGATCCAATAGAGAGAACAAATAGGCCTTTCAATGAAAGCTGGAATATCATCTTTAATTAAGCTGAATGCTGACCCCAGAATTCTTTAATAAAACAAAACAAAACAAGGAGGGCCGAGGTGCTCAATGTTAGAGCACTTACTTAGCATGTGCGAGGGCCTGGGTTCCATCCCCAGCACCACAAACAAACAATACAAGGAAACCTTCAAATCATTCCTTTGGAGCTCCTTTTCTTTCCATTTCATCTCTTTCCAAACCAATAGTACCCAACAAGTGACTCAAAATCAAAACCAATAAGCCTTTTATGGCTTAACCAAGAACAAAGGAGGTGTTTCCAGGGGTGCACCAAGAGCCACTCCTAAGGCAACTGAGGAAGCCCCAGCAGCACTGCGAGAGTGACCACCCAGGTCCTGGAAGTTTTGCTTGCCCTGGACACTTGTATTAAAAACAAAACAAAATAAGCAAAACACTTGGTTATTGCAAAGTCATTCTTGTTTGACTTGGCATTTCTTTAATCAGTCAATTTCATATGTTTATTGATGGTTTTTTCCTTTGTAAACTGAATCTTCCAGCCTTGCTTATTTTTCCATTGAGTAATTTTTTAAATTTTCCAAAGCTTTAATAAGAGATTAATTCTCCTCACAGAAGACCAAAATGTCATTACAAAATGGCCACTCTGTTAACCAAACCTACCATGTAACCATAAAAGTGGAAACTCCCCCACTTACTTTCTATAGGAAAGTGAAAAGTCACTTGC